AAATAGGAGCAAAACTGGTATCATTTGACAATGTGATGATGTTTCCTTCAATCAACCACCAGAAAAGAGTTGCTGCTATTCGAGCAGCTTTGAGATTTCGCGAGAAGAAAGAACCCCCAACTTCTAGTATTATTGAAGCACTGAAAATTTGTCTTGAGTGCAACACCTAGCGATACTATAATCGATTGAATCTACAAACACATGGAACAGGGCTGATCCAAAAACCGTTTATAATCTGACTTGGCTGTGGGCTTTATAGAAGAAAAAAATTTTAACTGTTGAGATCTAAACTCCCGGATTTGATATACTGGAAGAAATTTTGAGACGATGTTTTTGGGGCCCTGGTGCAGAACACTGAACAGATTTGAAAAATTTATCAGAATTTGATTGAGATAGATGATCATTTGAAATTTACCATAATTTTTTTCCGCTATAATGCCGAAAGAATCGACTAGTAGGACATAAAAGGGTTTGCGAGGTTTTTATTACGACAATTTTAGCTGTTTTTGCGTCATGTAATGCCATAGTACTATCATTTGTCAAACTGCTAATCTCTGTAAATAAAAGGTTTGATTCTGGTTGACAGAGAAAAAGAACCGATTTTTTTTCAGAAGTTATTAACCATATTGGGGTGAGGATGTGATTTTCATCCCTAGTTTTTATCAAAATGAAAAGCGACCGAATTGTCGAAATACTTATCGGACTTTATGGATTACAGATTGGTGATTGGCTGCAGCCTTAGCAATCTTTAAAAAGAAAGTCCCTGTGAAGTTGTCAAAAATCACAAAAAAAACATCAAAACTTCAAAAATGTCTCATGAAGAAGAAACTCATTTACAAAACTGCCGTTTTAATTTTTTAATTATAAGATTCAGCTAAAAACTGTAACTGCACAAATTTTTTTTTCAATTTTCAAAAAAATTAACTATAAAACATTAGTGGTATAAAAACATTTCCAGGTTTTTAGTTTCATGTTTTACACTCATTTTCCGGGCATCTTTGATTTTGGCCTGAAAAGCAAAAAGGATTTCAAAAACCTGAGTTACATAGCCAGGGGAAACCTTGAATTTCTTGCCAGGAGTTTAATTCCATTAAAATCCTACATTTCCTGGCAAAGGGCCATCAGGAAGGCTAGGATGAAGAGCAGGAAGTCCAAGGCAGTCTGAAAACAGGCCTAGACGCGTGGCAGGTATCCTTCCAACAAAACCAAGAAGTCAAAAAGTTTTTAAAAAACATTTTCGTTGATTATTTTATAGGCTAAGCATGTGGTCATTTGAAAACGGCAAGTAACACAATGAATTTTTTGAAGTTGCAAAATGACTTTCTTATTGCTCCATTTCCTATAAGCGTGGACTAAAATTGGATAACGCAAAACATTCCTCCCAATGATTTCCGTTCCTTGGACGGGATGAAAAAATCCTGGTTAAAATTTGAATCAATTGTTATTTGATAAAAGAATACTTTTGGCAGCTCTCTTGCAATAAGTTGGTATATTGAGCATAAAAATTATCCGTGTCTGTACATAACAGTACCAAAAAACAGTCCAATACAAAACAGTCCGAAAAACAGCCCCACGTAATAAATGTTTTAACAAGCCGGTAGGCTGAGAATTGTCCTTTGTTCAACAAACATAATGAACAAAATAGTGACCGCAGACAAAATAGATTGTTTTTTTTTATTAAGTTTTCGTCTGAAAGACGATGCAGCGTATGTGCTGGATTTTATGACTTTGAAATATGCTGAAGTGTTGGTATAGATGCTTTTTGATACTCGTCCCGGCTTTCAAACAAAATTACAAAATATTCGTGCTTTGGCAATTTTTTCAACACGAAGCTCGTCTGTTTATCAAGCATTTTCTGAAGGTTTTTTTATAGCATCCAAAAGCGTGGAGAGCAAATTTAGCTATATTTTTGCTTTGATCCTTGTTTGTAAGCTACAGCGCAATCTATTTCTTTCTTTTCACGCTAAAGTGGAGATTTAGTCAAGCTTAGAAATTAACCCAATTGAATCGTGGCAATCCTCCAACTATAATTAACTCATAGTATATTTATTTCTTTGCTAATCGCAAAACAAACCACCTTGTAGTTTACAGAGCGTTTGGAGCGATGGTCTGCAGAAAAACCTCAAAAAAAAATCATTGGTTTCTAATACTCTTTTTGGATCCACTCCTTTTTACAGACCTAAAAAGCAGCCGGAAAAGTGAAAAAAATGCCCGAGGAACCTTGTCTTGTTTTAAGCTATGCTGTGGACATATATGATTTTTCACACTCTAATTTACCAAAAAAATCGAGAAAACACGTTTTTCAGTTAAAGTTCTTATAAAGTTCTGTTAACAATTTTTCGATCGTAACATACCACGTTTTTCGAGCAAAGCTGACAGAGTGAACTAGTCTTGGTTTTTATTCAGTTCAATAATGATTTGAAAATAATGAACCTTCTTAATCCATGTATGTCGCACAGCAAGTGTCAGTCAGCCAGATTTATTCTCTGAACCTTAATCGTTGAAGATGCTTCTCAGTGCATATTCTTTGTCTTTCCTTGAAGAATATGCACTGAGAATGAATAAAGAATACAGTGCTGATATAAATTAACCGGACAAAACATTTGGAAATTTCAACGCATTTGAAATTTGGAAATTTCAAATGCGTTTTTTCTCAAATTGGGTTAAAATTAGGCAAAAAAAATGAAGAGAACAAAAGTTGCTTAGAATTTTACCAGAATTAATATGGCTTTTTTGAATTAATCAAAAATTACTTTGAAGCTACTCTGTAAATTGATGAGACATATATATCACAAGAAGCCTCTTACACAGCCCAACAAAGTTCCAGGAGGTTAAATCTCCAAAAACTGTTCAATAAAAAATATTTTTGCTTGATAGTCAAGAAATGTGATTTTAACTATATAAAATCCAAATTCTATAAGTCCAAAGTCCAAAGTCTAAATCACATTGCTTGATAGTCAAGAATTGTGATTTTAACTATGAAAAATCCAAAAATATTTTTGCTTGATAGTCAAGAAATGTGATTTTAACTACATAAAATCCAAAACCCATTTAACTCAAATTTTTGGAGATTTGACCGTTCTAGAATTTTGTTGGTCTGTGTAAGAGGCTTTTTGTGATGTATATGTCTCATCAATTAACAAAGTCGTTTCAGCATAATTCTTGATTAATTGAAAAAGGCTAAATTTACCCATTTTTTTGGGTACAATTTTGGTTGAGATTTTTGAAGAAAAAAATTCCACCACAATCATTCTGATGAAATTCTACGCAACTTTTGTTTTTTTTTCAAATTTTGTCTCATCTTAACCAAAATTGAGAAAAATGCGTTTGAAAATTCAAGTTTTGTTCGTTTGTCGTGATAATTTAAATCAGCACTGTATACATAAAGAATATGCACATAGAGAATATGCACATAAAGAATATGCACATAAAGAATATGCACATCAATGATTATCTTAGAACTCAATTTATTTTGCCATATTTTAGAATTCATAGAAAACTCTATTACTCCAAAAGTTAATTTTTAAAATCTGAAGTGGCTCGTGTAGTTACCAAGTCTGGCTTTGATCTTTGTTTGTACAATCAACACTAATATTTGTACTTTGCTGATTTCTAGCCAACTTTTTTGCCCATTCAGTTAAACAAGTCCTTTTAGTTCCAAATATTTCATCTTTTTCGGGTGAAAATACAAATAAAATTAAATTTTTTGTTAAGACAAATGGAAGAGTCAATTTTTGATACTTTTTTTCATAATTTCACTCTCATCTGATTGAGAAGCTGATGTTCTAGTTTTGTAGGGATTAGAAAATGCAGTAATTTATTTCCAATTCTTGAATCTACTATCCGATCTTCTAGGGTTGTATCTTGCCACCATAACCTTTCCAGAACCTATATCATAAAACAATTTTCATGCTCAAATAAATGTTTGCAAAATGAAACTGCATGCCAAATTGACATTCTTTGTATAATATAATCTTCTTTGCGCAAAACTGAAAGTCAAAATGACTGTTTTGCGTGGAGCCAAAATTAGTTTGCTTTATTTCAAAGGGTAAGATAAGCCTAAATATGATCGAAAGTCATCCCAAATTTTCAAACACAGTTTTTTTGAGGTAGAAGTTTTATCTAGTCACTAAGATAAAGATACGTTTTATTTTCATAAATCTCAACACATTCCACATTAGTTTAAAAGGTGAATCTACAAATACTGATGGATGATAGAAACAGTTGATAATATGGTCAAAAACATCAAAGTCGAGGCCTTCTTCCTTTAAGTTTCCCGGCCAGATTTTTGAAGTGGTTTTACCCCTGGCCGGGGTCTCCAGAGATGACCTCAGGGATATACTCATAAGGGCAGGCCTCCCGGGAACGACTAAGTACCACCAAAATTGGCCTAATCCTTGTGTGGTCCAAAAGTAGCTCCATGGAAAATTTTTTACAGCCATCTCGAATTTACAGTTTTCATAAAACTGTTTCAGTATTAGTAGTTTTTTGGAAGCTTAAGCCAAATTTAAAAAAAAAGGTTTAATTATTTTATAGGCTAAACACGTGGTCAATTGAAAACGGCAAGTAACACAATGAATTTTTTTAAGTTGCAAAATGACTTTCTTATTGCTCCATTTCCTATTAGCGGGACCAAAATTGGATACGGCAAAACATTCCTCCCAATTATTTCCGTTTCTTGGACGGGATGAGAAAATCCTGGTTAAAGTTCGAATCAATTGTTATTTGATGAAAGAATACTTTTGGCAGCTCCCTTGAAACCCGGAACAAGACATGTCCGTTGAGACTATTCACCATATGTCAAAATAACCATAATGATCTGTCACAATATCTCCACATCGGCTCGAATTTGTTCAGCGTCGCGGGCAGTTTAAAAAGATAAAAGTGTTTATGGCTGGTAATAAAGCAAGAACTCTTCTTGATAATTGAAGGTATATTGACTCTTTTTATTTTTCTCACGTCATCCTTCTTTCTTTCATCTTGCGGCGGTGTCCCACAAAAACAGACCTTGCATGAATCTGTTTATTTCCCCAACCATCGTCAAGCCAGCCAAGCAAACTTAATTCAATATCCAGATAAAAAGAGCGCATTAGGGGGCTTATAAATACTAATCGGCTAGTTTTATGCTTACGCTCTTGGATATCAAACAATAAGGAGTCATTTATGCAAATTTCTGCAGTATTCCAGATTTTTTCGCTTTTTCCTAGACTTCGTGGCTACCAATGCGATTTATCGCCAGTAAACTGACTTAGTTCTTCTCAGATGCCACTTAGCAGTCCATTAAACTATTTTTTGAATCTAAATACTTGGATACTATTTATGCTAATTAAAACAATCATTTAACTTATATCATATTTTTTGACCCATGTATTTTTCAAATTGCATTAACAATTGGTGTTTTTTGCTACTTAAAATGCCGTCGTAAATGTCAGTGCAGCGAAAATTATCTCTGACTAGTTGGAGTTTTTTGTTTCTATTCATTGAGCTGTCGGCCTATCGTGGTGTTATGTAGACCTCGTTCATTTTACAAGGAGATTATAGTTTATCAGCGGGCGGGTCATTAAACTATTTTTCCAGATTTTTCTGTTGGTGTTAAATAACTGGTTACTGCTTTCTGGAACAACAAGAAACGGCTAATTTTTCATTCAGCTGCCGCAAGTCTCATCAATCATTATTAACATTTTGAATCAGTGTTATGATTACTAGAGCCGATATAACAACTTGCTATCCTGTCAAAAGTGGTTTCAGACAGGCTTAATTTGTTCAAAATTGTTAATCTCACGATCGAATTATGTTTTTCAGGACTTGATCTGCATATTGATCGCTTAATTTCAAATCAATTTCTAATTTAATTTCGCTACGCGAGTACTTAATGACGCAGACGAGATGAACCAGGTATACTGTTTTATTTGCAAAAAATTCATTCTTAAAGACAATTGAAATCGAAACCAGAGTGCTCGTATCAGGGCGAAGCCTTGAATGTTCCGATTGCCTTTTAAGGTCTATGGAGCAGTAATAACATGAAAAATTTAAATGTAAAAAATAAAAATATTTTTTTATTTAATTGGGGATTTTTTGTAAAAACATCCCCCCACACGCCATATTAAGAAGAGAGTGATAAATTTTGCTTCTTTTAACAAATCAATTATGGCATATAGGCGTCCTTGAACCAATTTGGAACCATTTCTAAGACGGGTTTAATCACCGCTTACGCGTTAACAGCGCGAAATATATCGCTCGTTAATTGTCCCAAATTCGCTAAAATAGCCAAAATGGCAATCTTTAAACTCCCATATTTTTTTGAAAAATGATTAAGGTGAAATATCTTTTCAAATTTCAGCTCAGAACAACAATAGCTTATGAATGATATTAAAAAATTCAGTCAAAAATGGCTAGTTAAAAAGTCGAAATTTGTCTGAAGAAGAAAAGACCCCGAGCACAAATATTCCGCTAATTTCGTATCGAAAGTCAGAATACCAACAAGACTGCTCGTATCAGGGCGAAGCTCTGAATGCTTCTACTGCCTTTTAAGGTCTATGGAACAGTAATAACTTGAAAAATTAAATAAAATAAGCATAAAATGAAAATTAAAACAAAAAGTGAGATTTTTTGTCAATATCATCCCCCACATATAAAGTACAAAGCAAAAAATTTCACTCCTAGTAATAATTCAATTCTGGCAAATAAGCTTCCTTCGGCCAATTTGAAACGATTTTCATACATTTCATACAATTCTCTTCGAAAAATGAAACAACACGTTTTATGATCGAAAGTCATGAGCATTCTTTAGTGAGGATATGAATGATCCCTCTTCATCCAGTGATCCCTGTACATTTAATTAACGTATCAAAGAAAAAAATAATTCTGATTGAATGTGATTTGTCGTTTTTATTTTATTTTGAGTCATTTTTGTTCCGACTTTCGGTACGAAAGTAACGGAAGATTTGTGCTCGGGGTGGGTTTTTTTTTCTTCAGACAAATTTCGACTTTTTAACTAGCCATTTTTGACGGAATTTTTTTATCATTCAAAAAATATTGTTGTCCTGAGCTTACATTTGAAAAGATATTTCACCTGTGATAATTTTTCGTAGAGTTATGAGGGTTTAAAGATTGCCATTTTGGTCATTTTGAGCAATTTAGGACAATTAACGCGCGATATAATTCGCGCTATTAACGCGTAAGCGGAGATTTAATCCGTCTTATAAATCGTTCCAAATTGGTTGAACGAAGCTTATTTGCCATAATTGATTTGTTACAAGGAACGAAATCTCTCTTTTTGTACTTTATATGGCGTGTGGGGGGATGATTTTCATAAAAAATTTCAATTAAAAAAAAAAAATCTTTCATTTCATTTTATTTCATTTAATGTTTTTAACGCTATTACTGCTGCTCCATAAACCTTAAAAGGCAGTCGGAACATTCGGGGCTTCACCCTGATACGAGCAGTCTTGTTTACCTTTAATTTGTGTTGTTTAACTTTTTACCGCTTTCAAAACTTCCTTACTCCCGCCTAGATTTTTTTCCGTTTTTCACTTTGTCTAGATTTTAAATTGATTTAGCTCAAAAATTGCTACAACCAATTTGAATACAAAAATTATCAGATATATTAGTTTCGAATTAAAAACTTATAAGATTGTGAAAAATTGTATGTTTTTCACAATGTTTTTCCTAAAATATTTTTTGAAAATATCTTTAACGTTTTTAAAATTTTTATATCACCAGAAAAGATAATCTACTCTGTCGCAGAGATGAAGATCGGAAATTTCATAGGTAAAAAATTTCTCTACTCCATCCAACAAAATCAGTTTTTGCTTTTGTGTTTTTTTTGCTATTTGATTTTTCTGCAATAACAAAAAAAAATCTAAAATACTGATGAGCAAACAACTTCACGAAAACTTAGTTTTTTTTCTATTCAACAGTGACCCCATCAAAACTTGATATTCTGTTAGCAAAAAGTGACAAATTTTCTTGCTAGATTTGCGTGATTTTCCGATTTTAACCATGAAAAAACAGAAAGTTAAAAGCGCAGAGTTAATGTAAAATCAGATGAAGCAATTGACAACCAACTTGAGTAAGATTGAATTGACTGAGGACAAACGAAACAAAGGGTATCCGGTTGCGTTAAATCAAAGATTTAAAATTAGTGTTGTTTTTTGTGCGCTGTGCGATGAAAAGATTTGACGGAGTTCTAAAATTTAGGCATATTAGACAATAAAAAAATAGACGAATTGGGCAACATTTTTGTGAGGTTTTTTATTATCAATATTTTTTCTGGAGTAAAATCAAAGTTTCATGGTGTCATGAGGCGACCTTCGGTACCTCATTATATTCTATTTACTTATGTATTGTCTTATCTAACTATATCTTATTTATTTACTTATAGTGCAGTAAATTGATTCAAGGACAAATCTCACCAGCCAATTCGTTTGTCACTTGAGTTTTGGAAGCGGTCACTTGCGAGAGCCTTAAGTGTGAATTCAAGTCAGAAAACAATATACCTTTAAAACTATACATTCAATTCTGGATTCGTTAATCATTTATTCGTTACTTTATTCTATCTATATATTTATCATATCTAATTCAATATCTGGATTTTATAACATCTTTTTCCCTACTCAAACTGAGGGAAATCTCATGGCGCAGCCAGCGGTTCCTGTGAATGAAGACAGGACTGACCTACTCGGAATACCACCCTTTTGGGCAAGAACATCGGTTAACCCACCTTTCATTTGGGAGACGTGGGTGGGACAATTTTTTTTGGCGGTGAGTCTCAAAGATAACATCTCACCGGGGGAGTTACTAGTTGCCCCAGCAGAGTTAGTGGATGAACCTTACCCAAAGCCCGAAGCACCGAGTGCAGATGAAAATGCCGCAGAGTTGGCCGATAGGAACCTCCGAATTGCAGCAGCTAATAGAAGAATCGACGAGTACAATCAAGACAGGAGACGAAAAGGACCTCGCATTGGAAATAACTGGTGTTACCATGAGGCAGAGGCGCGGTTGAAATCGCGACTTTTCTTCGCTCTGGGAAACGAGGGGAAAAAACGATTTTTGGATTCCTACCCTCATTTGGATCTCAATACTAGCTCGTTCAGAGATTTTCATAAGTGTTGTGAGGATGTCTTCAAGGCAGAGCGTGACTACACAGTCGAAAGGATTAAGCTATACAATACTATATTCATGCAGGATAATGACTCATTCTCGTCATTCTATGCCCGACTTAGCGCTCAAACCGCGTTATGTAACTGGCCGATCGATCAGGAAAGAGCAACATTGAAAGATTTGTTCATTGGCCGCATTCGCGATGTGGAAGTTCAGAGGCAACTAATCAGAGCAAAAGCTAATCTTGATGATACTCTACAACTGGCTTTGGAAAACGAGAAAGGGGCTAAAACATCAGAACAATTTCAGAAATTGCTCCCGCATAATAACGCTACTTTCAATTCTACAAACTCTATTCGAGTCAAACAGGAACCAACTTCGTCAGTACAACAATTTAAGAATCAAGGAAATAGCAGCCGGGGAGGTGGTGTATCTCGTCCTAACCAACGACAAAATCAAAACAAACCATGCTATTTTTGTGGCAACCCGTTTTCTTTAGAACATCGCCGGTCATGCCCGGCTCGAGAAGCTACTTGTAATGCTTGCAAAAAGAAGGGTCATTTTGCGAAGGTGTGTAACACTACGAGACGACGCGTTAACATGATACAAAACGACGAGACGCCCACAGATCAAGAGTGTAATCTAATTGACGTAAACGGTGACAGCGAGCCGGAATATGGGGTCATGGCAGTAGACGTTGTGCAGATTAACAATGTGGAGCTTCTAAAGACAGCGGGAGGACAACCAAGAAGCCTCAGCATTCAGTTACGATCCGGCAACTCCTTTTTCTATTCCACGGTGGACACTGGAAGTCCCGTATCCTTTTTAAACAAGAAGACGGCGGATATACTCATGAAGCGGATCCCCAACATTAAATTTAAGGACATCGCGAGACATCCTTTAGATGTTACTTATGTCGATTATAACAAGAAACCAATTAAACTGTTTGGTTCTCTGGAAATCCCTATTGCATCGAAGGGATGGAAGATTGATAAGGCGTGTTTCTTGGTTTCCGAAAATCGTACCCGAAACTTACTTGGTTTGAACCTTCATGAGAAGTTAGGAATTGAAACGGTGCAACGCAGACCGGCAGAAGTTAGTTACGCCGAGGAAGATGAGGAATTGGATCCGAGCTCAAAATTCTGGAGGAACCACTTTGTCAACAGGTACCCTAATGTATTCAGCAGACTGGGGAGGTCTAAAAACCATAAAGTATTCACAAATTTTAAAGACCCGTTGGTGCCCAGACAAGTTAAAGGCCGAAAAGTCCCTATACATTTGCAAGATCGGGTCACGGCTGAGATCAAAAAGTTGATTAAAGACAAGCACATTGAAAAGTTAGAAAAGTGTACAACGGATCATTTCATTGCACCCATAGTCCTAACAGCAAAGAAAGATGGGTCTATAAAACTCGCACTGAATGCTAAACCTATGAATGCCCAAATCTGGCAAAACAAATATCAAATGCCTAATATGCATGAATTGATTGACTCGGCGGCTCAAATTATAACTAAAGACACACCTGGGGAGGTGTGGTTTACTTCTCTTGACCTTAAATACGCTTTCAGTCAATTACCTTTATCGGAACTAACCAGTAGTCATTGTAACTTTAGTATTTTGTGCGGAGAGGCAACAGGCACATATCGATTCAAGACTGGTTTCTACGGACTGACGGACATGCCTACGGAATTTCAGAAAGCGATGGACTGTACGTTACAAGGATTAGAGGGTGTCATATGTTACCTTGATGATATACTGGTTGTCACTAAAGGAAGAGTTGAAGACCATAATGT